TTTTGGCAACTATCATAAAAATGGAACCACAGCAACAAAGACATCAAAGTTGAATGTAATGTTAATGTATCCACTATTGTTCCTGATAATAACTGCTATTCGCTGAACTCCTGCGCATATTTACAATCTTAACGTTTGTTCTTAGCACAAACTTAGAGCAGCAGCTTAAACTTAGCTTGTGTCTGTACACATGAAACTGAACCATAATCATTGTCAGTATTTCCTGTAAAGGGTTTTTTATCATGTCAGTGATCACTGTCATCAGCAGATTAACAATACAATACAGAGCAAATTTGCTGGAGAGCTGACGGCCTCCTGTGAGGCCTCAGCGTTGGTCACAATGTTTTGGCAAATCTAGCAGTGCCTTCACCTCGAACTCAGAGCGAAGTTTTGAATATCTGCCTGTAACAGCAAACATACTGAGGAGGAGGAGGACACTGAAAGCTGGAATTTAAAAAGTCATATGCACTATAACACACTGATCTATGAGATAAAAGGGATTCTACATATTTTTCACCTTCAGCTGTAAAAACATTCAGTTAAAATATACATCTCTGCCCCGATAGCCTGTGTTTAGTGTGAGTCCTCATAGATACAGAAAAACTAATAATTGAAAATACAGCGTGACCATATTGATCGTGTAAGACTTTTACACTCAAGTACAAAAAATGTGTTCTTCAAGACATGAAGATGTTCATAATTTCATGCTGTAATGTGGAGCTGTGACTTTATTGATTCTCCTTTTGGCAGGGTTTATATTTTTGTTTCCTTATTTATTTCAGGTGGGACGGGTTTATGGAGGAGGAGGAGCACGCACTGTCTGACCTGTTTTTCTTTCTGATCTGGATCATAATAACTCGGAGGACTCGAAAGAAGTTCTGTTTTTCCATCGCTGATTAATTCCTGCATGAGAGAGAGAGCGCAAGCGAGTCCTCCCTTGTCTTTCAGGAGGCACGTCACCGAAAACTCCACCCACTTCCTGCAACTGTGTGGTTTTTAGATCAAATGCAGAATAATCAGAGAAGTTCTGATAGGATATTGGACACCAGATGTTAAACAACTGTAGAAACCTGGAAAGTCTTATCCTCTAGAAACTACACAGTGTACCTGTAAATGCATTTTTGTTGTTTTTGATGGGTGTGTCAGAGTATGAGTGTGTGTATGTGTGTGAGGATGAGTGTCAGGGTTAATTTAGTGTAAATGAACTAATGACTCCTCGGTCACACGAAGCTCTGAGGAGGCACCAGGGAGGCTGTTTGAACACAGTTTAAATAAAAAGACCATCTCAACATTTTACTCTTCTCCTCCAAAGTGTGGTTATCTATTTACAACCAGCAAAACTAATGCAGCTCCTCTTCTTCAGTGAAGTCTCTTCTTATAGCTGCTCCGAGTTGTAGTGTTGATTTAATTTAATTTAAAATAAAAAAAAGTCACAAGAAGACAAATCAAGAGCCAGAAAAAACAGAAAACGCTGGCTCCAAAAGTAGAAGTCTACTGAGTCCAGTAAAACACTGGACTAGATGATTTAATTAATTAAGTGTCAAATGTAAGATGGGTTGACTTAAAAAAATATTGAAAGAAATATATATTTACAGGAAAACATACACATTTATGAGGGGAGAAATTATAGTGAGAAGGAAACCCGAAGTAGGAATGGCAGAGTTTGGCCATTTCTCCAGTTTATTCAATAACTACTCTTAACCTAATTTCACACCAATCGAAAACAATAACAACATGGTCGACACAATATTTAGCACTTTTGAAAACCTTAAAGAAATTACACGTTGAATATTTTTAATATAACGGAATATGTTAAAAAAAATATGTATGGACAGGAAAAAATATCATACTTACAAATCCGTTAAAACAATTTTGCTTCGGCTGGTCCTTTCAGGGGTCGTGCGTCTCCATCCTTTGTCACGCCAGGACGCTGCACGTCACCCTGTTTGTGGACTACGTCATCACGCCCGGGGGGGGGTTGCGTTGCGTGATGTAAACGCGGAACAGTGTTGCCAACTTAGCGACTTTGTCGCTATATTTAGCGAGTTTTCAGACCCCCTTAGCGACTTTTTTTCTAAAAGGCGACTAGCGACAAATCTGGCGACTTTTTCTGGTGTTATTGGAGACTTATTTATGACGACGTGACGTGAAAACGCATATCGCTCTTACTCGCAACAGGCAGCGGTGCTACCTTGGGCACCTCACCCGTGCCAAAGCGCTCACAGGCGGAGGATAGTCCTCACCCAGCTGCTATCAGGGCAGGAGACCTGTGACATCATGAGACAACACCTGTGCGTCCAAACGGCAAATGAATCGCGCATGAGCGAAGCCGCTGCTCCCGCACTGACTGTAACGCAGTCAGTTCTTTTACTGTTATGCTGTTTTGTGGATCACAAGGTTTAAAACTACTTATAAACACACACTCTCACACATAAAGTAACTCCACCAGAGTGCCAATTTCGGCTCACTTTTGCCCGTCCAGGCCCGGGTAAAGGAGCAGGGTTGGAATTGTGACATTAAAAAAAACAATAATTGCTAAAAGAAATTTAATTTGTAGTTCTAAATAAACTCAATGCATTTAGGACGTTTTTTACTCACCTTATGTCTCTACCACGATGTTATTTTTCTCTCCAACATCGTAGGTTACAATTACATTAGCATGACCAATTATGCAAATTAGGCGATGACGTCATTTGGCGACTTCTAGCGACTTTTAGGACAGCCAATAGCGATTTTCCTTACTGAGGAGTTGGCAACACTGACGCGGAAGTATTATTGTGCACCTGCAGTAGATGAGAGCGGATGTTCTAACAGGTAAACACGGTGTTTGGGTGATATTTGCGGTTTATCTTGTTGTTTCGGAGCTAAAGCCGCTGTTAAGCGTGAACAGCAAAGGAAAACAACTGCTTTCCCTACCTGAGCGCCATACCGGTTTGTTAGCCTCTTTAGCCCCCCATGAACAAATGACAGAAAGCTAATGCTAGCGTCAAGTTAGCCGCTGTTAGACAGTATTCGCACGGAAACAGTGCGGTTATTTGCCTTGTGCAAACTTTCATTTTTGTTCTATACACTTGATGAAGTGGGACCAAAGACGTGATTACAAGTTGTGACGCTGAATTACAATAATAAATACAAATTGATTAGACTGTCAGGCGTAAAGGAGGACCCAGTTGTCTTATTATGAAATTACCCACCGGAAGTAGCATGTATTCCCGCTTGGTGGTTTGACATGTTTTTCTCCCGCGTCATAAATATAACAAATACAAAACGGATAAAACCAGTGGGGCAGAAAACCGGTGAATGGGGTAATCTCCACAATGGGAGAGCTCGCGGTGTTTGTGTTCTGACTAAAGGTAGTAACTGTGTCAAAGGCGACAACAACGCGTTTTAATGGCTGCCACAAACTAATGAAAATCCACCTTCTGATTACATATGACAATACAAATGACCTAACATTCAGATCATTTTTCCCTCAGTAACAGTTTTTCCGAAACGCTATATTTAAGTTTGTAAATTCGATATTTGATAATAGTTAATGTATTAATAGCACGAGTGGTGTCTAAACTCAGGTGTTGCTTTAGGTGACCTGCAAAGCCACTGTTTCATATTTGCTATTTGGTGTTAAGGCGACAACTCAGGTGATAATTCTCATTGAGATTGAGATTAAAAAGTAAAACATGTGGCCAAGAGTGCAGCAGGAATGGCGACAAATGTAACAAAGCAGTTCTATGGAAGGATTTTAGGAACCCAAATAGGGCTGAATTAAAATTAATGTAGAATACAAAGTAGGTACAATATTACAGTCTTTCAAAACAGGTTATTTCTTTGTTTCACATATATAACCCCTTTGTAAATCCTGTTGATGTCAGCCTGTATACCAAAATAAGTAATAATACAGCATTAAACATAGAAAACGTATAGAAATGTCAGCAATACTTTTGTGACAGACAGTCACGTTTTTGGCACAGCGCCGGTGATCCAGATTAACTGGTGAGGATAAAACGGGTGTATCATACACCTGATGTTTTAGGAGGAAATAATGACAAACCAGGAAATAAACTCCAAAGGCACCAAAAAGGCATTTAACTGTTGGCATTGTCTCACAAAAGAACAATGCAGACTCTAACAAACCAACCAGATTAAGCTGTGATACATCTGCACCTGGATTCATCCAACCAGATTTTAGCCAGAGACTTCCTGTTCCATGTTCAGTACATAAGAGATGGCCTCTGCAGCTGTTTTTTGTGTTGCTCCATTACAAAGAAACTCTCAAGTAAATTAAATTTCAGTTTTATTTTCACTGTACTATACTTCTGATTAGTTTACTGGTAGTGTAAGTTGTGGTGTACATAAAGTGTTCGAAAGTTAATATAAGATTTGATATAAGAGTTAAAATTATATTAATATGCAAAAATATCGACTTCCATGTGGTGGTAATGCATAAACTCTATATTTTTATATGTTCCCCATAATATATATGGTATAATTACATACATTCTTTACTCATTTAGAAGTACAGATACTTACAGATTTTTTTAAACTGGTAGTTTGTTTACTCAAAAGTGAAAAATACGGCTCTGAATGTATTTAAGCTGTGAAATTAAAAAGCAGGTCTTTGAAGGACTTTTCTGTTTTTGTGCAAATCTAACTGAACCTCATGTCATAACAATATAATAGTAAAGTAGTATTAATACACGTGAACAGGAGCATTTATTTAAATTCTAATCATTCTAATGAATGTACTCCGCTAGAACACGTGGCTGACTTTGTCTGAACACCTGAACAGAAAAATTAGCATTGTTCTATAAATGATGCATAACTTATTTAAAATGCTTTGAAATGGTGGATTTAATGTTGTACTAATAATGACAAGATTGGACCTGCTGACATTTTGTTTATTTCATGGTTTCTTTGTAAGGGAGCGGTACAAAGAACAACTGCAGAGCTCATCTCTGATGATTGAAACAGGAAGTCTCTGGCTAAAAGCTGGTCAGAATGAAACCAGGTGCCATGGAAAATAATGATGGAAATGAGAACATTTACTGAATTCAATGCCGGTTAACCTGTAACTTCATCTTGCTCAGGGGCTCTGGCTTTGACCTCTGACCTTCCTCTATAAAATGTCAAACTTCTGTATTGCTTTTTAAAAGAAAATCCAAACCTAAAGATGAGAAGTTATTTTATAATAGTTTGCTGTTAGTAACATGTTTAATTCGTCTCTGTTTAGCTGACTTAATGTTACATGAATGTCCTGATACTAAACTGACTCATTGAACTAAAGAAAGAAAGATGAACACGCCAATTAAGGTATAAGAAAGATGTGAATATATATGGGGGATATTTGTTCGTCAGAATCTTTAGATGCATTTTTCCAGCACAGACCAGTGCAACATGTGTTTATTTCTTGTGTTTAGACCAACATCTGCCTGTGTCTCCTCCACTAAAACCAGCAGAGATGTCCCAGCAGCTCCAGTAAAGCCCATCAGAAGCAGCAGACAGGAGATGACTTTGTGTTCACCGCTCCGTTCGCTCTAGTGTCTCTGAAGCATCAGGATGCAGATCCTGGTGGCCAAGCTGCTTGGCCTGCTGGGCTTGTTCGGCCTTATGCTGGCTGGTGTGCTGGTCCCAGTACGTCTCCTGCTCGTTGACTGTGATAGAGCACAGAGATACAGGAGGCCATTGTCTCTGTGCAATTCATTTGGAGGGGGCGTGTTCCTCGCAACATGCTTCAATGCTCTGCTTCCTACTGTCAGAGATAAGGTAAACACACATCCTCTCACCTTGCACACATACTTTGCATTCTTAAAAGTGAAGCCAAACTTCCCAGATGAGTTCATGGGCTCAGTCTCTACTTTCAAGTCTTAGTCTGATTAAACAAAACACAAAGTTCATTTTGTAACTTATGTTCTCACCAGAGCAAAGACTTTGCTTTGATGGTTTGTGTTGTCGTTGGTATTTCATAGCAGCTGCTCCCTCAGGATGTCCTGTTTCAGAATACTAAGATAACGATGAAGTTTTATCTGCTTATTGTTGTGGTTTTCGTTTTGCGCCTTCAGGTGGTCGATGTGTTCCAGCAGCTGAAGATCAGCAGCGATTATCCTCTGGCTGAAACAATGATGATGCTCGGCTTTTTCCTCACCGTCTTTATAGAGCAGGCTGTCCTCACCTTCAGGAAGGAGAAGCCATCCTTCATCGACCTCGAGACTTTCAACGCCGGCGGCTCCGAGGCCGGCAGCGACTCTGAGTATGATACCCCTTTTATCTCCTCAGCACGGGGCTCACCGAGCAACGGCGGTCACCGCTCCCACGGCCACCACCACGGACACTTCAACCCGGCCGAGCTGGCGGGGGCGGGGCCTCTGCGGCTGGTCAGCTTGGTCCTCGCTCTGTCCGCACACTCCGCATTCGAGGGCCTGGCGCTCGGCCTGCAGGAGGACGGGGCCAAGCTGGGCAGTCTCTTTCTGGGCGTGGCTGTGCATGAGACACTGGCAGCCATCGCCCTTGGGGTGAGCGTAGCTAAGGCATCTCTCGGCATGAAGGACGCCACCAAGCTGGGTGTGACAGTCAGCATGATGATTCCGCTGGGCATGGTGGTGGGAATGGGCATCGAGTCGGCCCAGACGCTGGCGGGCAGCATAGTGTCCGTGGTGCTGCAGGGACTCGCTGCCGGAACCTTCCTGTTTGTTACCTTCTTTGAGATCCTCACCCGGGAGCTGGAGGAGAAACAGGACCGGCTGCTCAAAGTGCTTTTCCTCATCATCGGCTACGCCGCACTCGCTGCTCTCGTCTTCATCAAGTGGTGACAGACACCCAGCGATGCCAAACTACACTAAGAGTTCACTTTAATGAAGCAATCAGTTGTGGGAGGCGGGAACATGTGGCGTTTCTATTTGCAGTTTTAAACAGGAAATTACTCTAAAATCAGACTTTTGCCCCTGAAGGACGGATGAGTTCATTTATGTGTTTAATAACTAATATCTGTAAGTGGCTGCAGTGAGACTGCTGCTGCTGCTGCTGCACATCTGGAGCTGTAATATAAGGACACTTCAAATTTCCTTACAGCTACTTTATAGTCTATAACAAACCATTTATGATATTTGTAGGCTGCTTGGAGATGCTAAACAAAGGGGCTTAAAATGTTTTTAACTTATTTTTATAAACCTTTCCGTTACAGTGATTGAATCTCGCATTAGAAACTGCAGGTTGAAGGGGGCGACTGCTACATAGGGCTAGCGCTGCATTCACATATATGTGTGGGGTAACCAAAAAGTTCCAGGAATGAGCCCCTAAAAATAAAAAGCCGTCACTGATTTACATGTAAGGTCATCTTCTCGGGCACTTCTAGACCATTTTCAAGGCAGCAGCTATTTTTAGATTGCTTCATGAAAGCCCTGCTAGGTCCTGTTGTACTAAGCTTCCTCTGTCTCCTTCACTGTGTCGACATAAGCCTGAACTGTTTTTAATTTGTGGGAAGATGAAAAGTGCAAATCTGGTGGTCTGTTAATGTGGAAAAAGGGGTCAGAACAGGGCTTCCAGCAAGACATCTAAAAATAGCTGCTCTGCTAAACACTACCTGGATGTGTCTGAGATGATGACATTGACCAAGAGATTGTTTCATATTAAACATGGTCGGGTTGTTTTTATTTTATAGACTCGTTCTCGGGCCTTTTTGGTCATACCTCATAAGGTAGTATGTAATACCTGACTTCTCAGGATTCCATCTCACTGATATTGTTCCTAACATCTAGCATCCTCCCAGTTTTAGGTCATTTGTTTCTACATAGTTTCAGGCCTAAACGTCAGTTTTTATTTATTAGAGACAGGAGTGGTTCTTACGTTTATGAAACACGCTACATCCTGGACGTTTCTTCTCCAAACTCCGAGTGAAGTCGATTCTTGCCGCTCCACCTATCTGTAAATTGCGAGAGATTCAGGTTTTCATACAAACTGGGAGACCAACTCAAACATTTGGATGTCAAGAAGACGACAGAGGTGCAGTATCAGCGCGCGGGGATGTTACTGATGATGCAAGCCGAACACGTCCATGTTTATAGTTTTATTTACTATTCGTCTACTCAGTAACAAGCTAAAGCCTTTAGCTTAGAGGACTCAGAAACGGAATCAGATTTGTCCTGCTGCCCTAGCCTAGAGCTGTGAGCCAAAGGTGAATCCCAGATATTTTCTGTTAGTTTGTCAAAGCTCTTCAGTTTCTCTTCTGTTTTTACATTCCTGCTGTATTCTCAGAAATGCCCACACAAACACACTGGAGCCTTTTAGCTGCTTTTTCTTTCTTCGTGTGTTCATATTGAGATCTGGATCAGGTTTGTATTTATGATTGTTTTTGCCATCTTGTCTTGATGTCATTAATATGTTTTGCAAGGTGATTTTTTTGTGTGTGTATTAGTTGGAAATAAACTGATTACTATCTGATACATCCATTTACGGCTTTGTGTTTGTTGTTTCACTCAGACTGTAGACTGAACTTAGCCTAGGGCCTGTGCTATGAACCAGGTTTGGCATACCCAGGATATCACCACCATACGGTTTGCTGATAGCAGAGTCAAAAACAAAGAGGTTAAATGCATAATACATGACAAAAGCAGCGCAGCTGCACAGAACAAAAAAACTGGCTTAGAAATTGTAAACTTTTTGAAGGACATGAGTAGACAAAGGTTAAAGAGGAAATCAGGTGACTGCAGTCATGAAAAACAAAGGACTGGCCTGTAAAACCTTCAGTGCACCCTTACTGCTTCCATGGGAAGTAGAGAGCAAATAGCAGCACGATGCTGCTAATCAAATACATTCGATAACTGATCATCAGCGAGCATGAAAGCAAAAGTTTTGCCAGTTTGCTGGTCTGGAGCATTCAGGTGTGTGTTAACACATCGCCAGGAGTAGATGTAAATTCAGCCATAGCTCAGGCCGTGCAATGCTCAGAGAAACTGCAAAACATGGAAGAGCTGCATCTCAAACTCCACAGGTTAGGGTAGGGTAATCGCTTAGGTTGCATCTGAACAAACACAAGATTTCTGGAACAATTTCCTTGTTACAGAAGACCAAAGTGATGTTTGGCTATAATGCAAAAACACCGCATTTGATGAAAACCAAACACAGCGTATGAGCACAAACACCTGCACGTTGACAGTTGGTATGAGGTGCAATATCCTCTTAAGTTTATTGTACTAAGAGGATATTGCCTATCAGATAGGTGGGTGATTTGATCTTGTTTTGCAGTATACTGCGAAGCCATCCCTTTCACCTCCTGCATCTTTGCTAGTGTGGACCCAGAGCGTTTTCAGACGAAACTGCCATTTTCAAATCTATCTGGGCTAGTGTGGACGTAGCCTTAGCCAACCCGTCAAGCTTTCTGACAAAAGTCACACTTTTCGAAAACTTCGGCTTAACGCTTTGGTAAAAGAGTGCTGATGCTGACAGGATGGGAGCTAAACAACTGAAACAGGTCTAACCAGTGTGACTTTTTCCCTTCTCTTGTGTAACTACATTGTGAAATAAAAGAAAAGAAGACTCATCTAAGGTGTTATAACATGAAGTGAAAATGTGTTAAATTACACCACAGTTTACAAAACACCCACTCACCAAAACTGTGAATGCAGTATCAGTCTGACATTCTTAACCTTTGAAGAAGCTTCCTGCTGTGTGACTGTGCTGCAGCGTCCGAGTGATACGTTGAGATGGAATCAGGTAAAAATGTCTTTATATTTCAATCTGCTCACTGAAAAACTGCAAAAACCCTCAAAACAGACAAAAAGAAAATAACTGTCAAAACATGAAGTGGCTGTTTCGGTTATAAATGTGTTGTAACGTAGTTGCAAATGTGAATTTCGGTTAATTCTGTTTAAAATTCTCCCCCACAGTTAATAACATTGATGTCTATGAATACCTGTGGGTCAGTAACCAGGACATTGCTGAGCACACGCTGCATACACCGTGTCTACAGCACATGCAGCTTGGAGACCTGCAGGCAGACAACTATGTCAAATTCATAATCCAAGACATCAACTATCTGGTGGTGGCCACAGACATGTTGGATGAGATGAGAAACAAAGTCGAGGTCCCCCAGGACCTCCACGATTTCATGGAGGATAGGTGTGAAAGCTACAAGACGTATGCTGAAAGCACGTTAAAGGAATTTAACCTCAATGTAAGAAACCTTCTGCAACCTCCTTTGACATTTCTCTATTTAACTGGAATGTTACTGTTTTGAAGTCATTGCTACAATTTATATTTAACCTGTGTCAATAATTAAATCTACTTGTCACAACCACACAGTGTGTCAAACATTAACCCAACCCCTGCCATGAAAAAGTACTTGTCTGATTACAAAGACATCATGGAGAATCAGGATCCCATTTACTTCGCCGTGGCTCTGCTTCCCTGCTCCAGGCTGTGGCTGTGGCTAGCCAATCAGCTCAACGAGAACTGCTGCAGCGCATACTTCACCTGGAAGATGTCCAACATGTGCGGCCACCCAGAACAGCACTTTAAAGCGCTGCTCAACAAGTATCTGACCACACCAGAACAGAAGGAACTGGCAAACAAACTCTTCCGCCAGCAAATGAACAACGAGCATGACGTTTGTGCGTCTTCACTTGAATGAAACAGGAGCAGTTAATAATAAACCTTCTTGCTTTCAACTGGTTAGAGTTAATGTGTCTCTACTGCCCTCTGCTTTTCATGTCTAACATAGTGCATGTGAAGAACATACTCTTCTTCACCAGTTCTGCACTGCAATAAAAACTGAGCTTTGTTCAGTCGGTGCCTTTAGATTCTTATTGCTGTTTCTCACTTAAAGCAAAATGTCTGTCCATCTATAAAATGTCCTTTATGGCCGTTACAGCGGGAAGTACGCTGTTAACATCTTTGTATTGTTAACATTTTGTCTCTGAATTAATGTAATACTCACTGTGCTTGTTCTTGTGTATTAACTAAAGTACAGTCAAATTTTTATTATATAGCATGTTTCAAGATAAATATCACGAACTGCTTCACAACAAAAATGGTAGAACATCAAAACAGAAAAAGTCACCAAGAAGCAAGTTCTTTCTTTTTCTTTTCTTTTCTTTTTTTTTTTGCCTGTCCCGTTTGGCTCTTTTGCATCAGAATTGTTGTCTAAAGGCGAAGAAAGATACCCAACGGATTTACTTTACCAAATTGACCATCCCAGCCTTGCCATAATGGTCTATGTGATTCACCTTTTATTGTTTATTTTATTTATTTTTTTAATTTTCACTTTTCAATTTTCACAGACTTCAATGAGGAAAAGAAAAGGGAGAAATGAAGAGGGGGAAAAAACAGCGGAGAAGAGGGACGGGGGTAAAGGGCAAAAAACAAAAACCAACTAAATAAGCAGACAAAACATACATAAATCAATCACGTGGATCACCTGTTGAGAAAGAAAAAAGAGAAAACAAGCAGAAAAAATAGAGCAACATAATAAACAACATCACAATGATATATGGGAATATGACAGTAAATATTAAATATTAAACATTATTGTGCAGCACATAAGATCAACACAACACAGTGTGCTTTGAGGTAGGAGCCAAAAAGGGTGTAGTTTGTGGGTGTGATCACCCGTGTGTACACCTGTGAGCATGGACGCGCTTGTTTTTTTTTAAAAGGTTCCTTCATGTAATGATCTGCTAGAGGGTGTGGGGGGGCCACAGCCCCGTCCTCCAGGGCATGAAGCAGGTATGGAGGAGATCAAAACTCCAGACATCCAGAGGCCCCCAGAACACAAGAGACCAAGGAAGACCAACAGAGGGGCAGCGCGCCACTGTCCCAGAAAGAGCTGAGGAGAGTCCCAGATGAGGGCTCACTCAGCAGCCGCGGAGCAGAAGCCAGGGGGAGTTGCAGTGACGCGCCCGTGAGCTCCGCCGGCAGCCAGCTGTGCCTGAGTGACCGAGCCCCAGGCCGAGAGGCCGGGGGCACCCCACCTCCGAAGTGGCCCGAGCGAGCCCCAGGCTCCAGGCCCCGATAAGCGGCCGCCAAGGAGTGAGCCGGTGTGTACCTGGACGCCCATCCCCGGACACAAAGAACCACCAACGCACCGAGCACTGAGGGAGTCCGCCACTGGCAGGGGAAGTGGTGGTAGGGGGAGATAGGCCTCCAAACCTTGGAGGGCCTGAGATGTCCCCAGAGAGGTGGCGCCTGACACCCAACCTGACATATAGACACAGACATACAGGCACACACAGATACAAACATCCATTCCCACCCTCATGCTCTCATATGCACTTACTCCACACTCAACCAACGTGGAGACAGACATAAAGAGACGCTGTACACACGATCACACTCCCCAAGCGTACTCTACAAACCGGGTCTAGGTACCCTTGCCCCTGGAGGGGGGGAACTGCACCCAGACCCAGGTGGTGTTACCCTTTTCCCTGCGGTGGGGAGAGGCAGACCGCCCCGACTCCGCAGCAGCAGGGAGGCCCCACACTCCAGACCGCAGTCGGACGGCCAACTCCTCCTCCTAGCCCCCCCGCTCCAGCAGGTCGCAGCTAACCAAGAAGCAAGTTTAAAAGATGACTTTTTAGCTGCTTTTAAAAGCAATCAGCAAGTTTCATAGAAGCTCAGAGAGAGATCAGGGCCCACTGCTGTTCTCAGCTCAACCCTTAAAACCACAGACTGCAGGTCCTGCTACTGGAAAAACATCTCCCAGTTTACTCTCATGGGGATTCTACATAATCTAAACTCCAAGAGCTCCAAATAAAAAACTGCAAAAGCACACAAACTTTGAGAACAGTGTTTGTTTGTTTTTTCTTTCTTCACAACGTGATGCTTGGCTTAAACTTCAGCACTTAAAAGCATTGGGTTGCTGCCATGTGATTGGCTGATTAGATGTTTGCTAATAAAGTGGCCTCCTGTCTTAAGACAAAATGAAGCCTCTTGATTTATAAATGTGTTCGAAAGATTTGGGCCTTAAAAAAAACGTAGGTGCATGTGAATGTTAAACGTCCGACCAAAGAAATCGAGACTGAACTCTGGAGTAAATATAGTTGTTAATGAAGATTCATTGACCAACAGGTTCATTAACATTTCCTCCCGTCACGTGCAGTCACCCTGACCCTGATTTGAGACTTCAAAGTGAAAGCTTATTGAGAGTCCAGCAGCTTTTCCTAAAGCTGAAGGTTCCTCTGACCCATGCTCACCCAGACTCTTTTGCCAAAAGGTGTAAAACCGAAACAACAACAACACGATTGAGTCTAGCAGCAGGACCAGATGCCAAAGGCCTGTGATATTTCCTCCACCTCTTTAAGCCTCTTAGTCCTGTAAGTCTGCCTGGCTGTCTGCAGAGCTACCTTGGTGCTGATCAGTGATCATTTAATCCTTTAGTGGAAAGGGTTGGGTCTCACAGGTTTGTCTGCCTGCCAGCCACACATATAAACACTCAGATCTTCACAGGTATGGAGGAACTTCTGTTACCGAACGTTGAGGAGGAGGTGCGCTCTGACAACAGCTCGTACGCGCCTGGAAATGCAGAGAAGACGATGGGGGACCAAATGAAGACTTTCCTCCTGAAGACAGTGAAGGGGGACCTGAGGACGGTGAAGAATTTCTTTAAGAGGAATGGGCTGCTCACGCTGTCAGTCATCTCTGTGATCACCGGCTGCACGCTAGGCTTTATGTTGAGAGGAAGTCAGATGTCTACACAGGTACTGTTCACCTTACAGCAAACAGCATGCCATTAAACTCTCAGCTTCATATTTACATCACGTCATTATGTCGACCGGACTTCTTTCCTTCAAACATCCTGTTAAGTCACCTTCAGTGGTGCTGCCAGGAGCTCACCTTTAAGCTCCTGTATTGATACTGTCCAACACTTTTCCTGTTAATTACTTCTCTCAGCTTTCTGCTCAGTAGCTGCCTTTAAACACTCTGTTAGGATGTAAAATTTCAGCTTCTATGTTTACATTTTCCTGTGAAGCTGAAGGTAATATTTAAAATAACCTAAAGCTTTGTGTTGATATTTTTATTTCAAATGTCTTTACGTTGCTTCGTGCCTCGATTTATTGCGATATATCTTTTTAAATTTAAATTTCAGCTTCTGTGTTGATTACTTTTTTTTGGTTTGTTTGGTTGGTTTTGGGGGTTTTTTTCTGTTTATTTTATATATTTTTTGTGGAAATAAGTAAAAAGTATGCAAAACACACAGTAGCAGAGAGGGACGGAAGAGTTACCAAATTAACAACATATTATAACATAAAAAAGAAGAAAAATCAAAAAACTGAAAAAAAACTGCTGAACTTTTGATATTTTAATACAAAGGTTCGAGTCTTCTCCTCCACTTCTCCTAAACTCCAGTGGAGGAGTTCAAGTATCTCGGGGTCTTGTTCTCG